GGTGGGGCTCGCAGAGTGCCAGTGTATGTGTGGACAGGTGTGGGTGTGTGCAGGTGTGTGCTCGCGTGTGGGGTGGGTGGGTGTGCCCCTGGGTGTGCCCCTCGTCAGTGGAGAGCTCCATGGGGGCCTCGGTGAGACCACCATGGTCATGGGCCTCTGGACATAAATATAGCACCGGGCTGTTCCGCTCTGGCCTGGGCGGAGACCTGAGTGGGCCCCGTCTTCACAAGTCAGACACAGGCTTTGCAGCCCCAGGGCCCTGGTGCCCGCTGGCACACTGCTCCCTGCTCGGGCTGGCACGGTGTGCGCCTCTTTTCTTCCCAGCGAGGCTGCCGCCGCAAGCCGGCACGCAGGATCTTTCTCTAGCAGCGCTCCGTCAGTAGCGAGGGGCCTGACCCTGGGTGGTGCTGCACACGGTGGGCACGTCTGTGGCATGGGGTGGGGGAGGCCAGGGATGCCGCATGCTCGGCACCCCGCAGAGCAGGCTGACCCCAGATCTCAGCAGCGGCCCAGAGGAGCCTGCTCTAGGAGCCCCCCAGTGCCCTGAGCCTACTCTTCCAAGCCAGCCGTGGGAAGGGGCGCCCCTTACACACCCCGGCTTCTGCCTGCCTGGAGTCTGGACACAGACTGGGGGAGGCAGGGTGAGCAGGGTGGACGAGGTGAGCCGGGCTGCCCTGCTGGACAGTCTGAGCTTTTCTGGCCAGGCGCTGCCTTCCCCGGCGATTCTGCACCACTGACCACCCAGCTCCGTGCTGAGCTCCGGTGCGTTTGCATTTGGGATGCAGGTGAAGCGTGGGCTGGCTCAGCCTCCTCTCCGGGGACAGGACGCCTCAGCGCTTGGTGGAGGACCCGTGGTCACCCGTGCAGCGAGGGTCCCTGGGAACTGGTGCCGTGCCGTCACTGTCACATGCATAGCGCATAGTCGCCTGTGCCAGGCACCTGCTGGGGAGGGGCTGAGGAGGCGGTGACCAGAGCCTGGGGGCCTGGGCTGAGATGTGGGAGCCCAGGCAGGGGGCAGGGACGAATGGCAGGTGGTCCCGAGTCCCCCAGGGCACGGGGCTGTGAGCTTTGCACTGAGGGCCTGAGAGCTGAGCTCGGTACGTGTGGCGGGTCTCACAGCCACAGAAGGAAACCGCCCAGGCTGAGAAGAGCCACTCGTCCCCACCCTGTTTCTCAGGGTGCGGGCACTCACGGGTGTTCATGCATTGTATTTGGAGCTGGCCATGGTGCACGCCCGTCATCCCATCGCCCTGGGAGGCTGAGGCAGGAGGATCACAAGTTCAAGCCCAGCCTGGGCAACTTGGTGACTTAGGGAGACCCTGTCTCAAAATAAAAATAACAAAGGCCGGGGACAGAGCTCCTGGTGAGGAGGTGGCCCTGGTGTCGCCCCACTGACCGCCTTCCCCACCCCGCAGGCACCGGTGAGAGCGGCAAGAGCACCTTCATCAAGCAGATGCGCATCATCCACGGGGCCGGCTACTCCGAGGAGGACAAGCGCGGCTTCACCAAGCTGGTCTACCAGAACATCTTCACCGCCATGCAGGCCATGATCCGCGCTATGGACACACTCAAGATCCTCTACAAGGACGAGCAGAACGAGGTGAGCGCCTGGGGCCGCGGGGGCGTCTGCGCATGGCCCCCCGCCTCCTGAGACCCTGAGCGCCCGCGCTCCTCTCGCTGTGGGTTGGAGGAACGACTCGTGTGCCACCGCCTGCCTGTGGGAGGGGTGCAGCTCTGGGCTTTTTTGTTTTTCTCGTTGAGTTTATGGTACTTTTTAGGTACAGTTACGCTCATCATTGGGATCTTGTGCCTCTACATGATAGGACTTGGTTCTCATTTTTTCCTCATCCTCCTGCCCTGTTTTTATTCCCGCTCCATGCTTTATTTATTTATTTATTGTTTTTTATTTTTGAGACGGGGTCACACTTTGTAGTTGAGACTGACCTAGAACTCACTGTGTAGCCCAGGCTGGTCTCAAACTCACAGCGATCCTCCTGCCTCAGCCTCCCAAGTGCTGGGATAATAGGCATGTGCCACCACGCCCAGCTTGAGCTTTTTTTGTTTGGTATTTTTTTTTTTTTTTTTTTTTACAGTACCAGAGATGGAACCCAGGCCCTTCACACTGAGCTACATCCCCAGCCCTTTTTATTTTGAATCAAGGTCTCCCGAGTTGCTGAGTCACCCAGCCAGGGCTTGAACTCAGGACCCTCCTCCTTAGCCTCCCAGTGTTGGGATTACAAGCATGAGCTACACATCTGGTTTCTTAGTGGTGTATTTATTTATTTTTTTTGGTACTGGGGATGGAGCTCGGGTCGTTTGCGAGAGGCGACAGAACCACTGAGCTAAATCCCCGGCCCCAGTGGTTTTTCATATAGTCACAGAATTGTGGAGCCATTGCCACTGTCTAGTTCCAGAACATTCTGTCACCACTGGGGAGACCCCATCCAGCCCACGAGCAGTTGGTCACCTGTCCCCTCAGCACCCCGCGTCCTTTGTCTCTGGAGTCGCCTGTCCCGGGCGCTTCCTGTCTGTGGAGCGCACGCTGTGTCCTCTTCTCTGGCGTCTCTCACTGAGCACTGGTGACACCGTGGCGAGTGTCACAGCCTCGCTCCTGTCCCGGCTGAGCGACCTCCACACGGGGACAGCTTCTCCGTGTGCGTCCATTCACCAGCTGAGGGGACGTGGGCTGTTTCCACTTCTGGCTGCTGTGAATCGCGCTGCTTGCGTGTGGCCGTGAGCATCGAGTGGACGTGTCTGGGTGTAGAGCTCGGTGTGGGACTTGGCAGAGCCTGGAAGGCGCCACGGAACCATCACCCGAGGCCGCGGCACCACTTCCTGCACCCGTGAGCTGGGCCCTTGGTGCCTCTTGCCGCTGACCCCCAGCCCTTCTGGATGGGGAAGTTGACCTGCTTTACCGGTCTGTCTTCAGGGGCTTCTGACTCAGCCCTGGAAACTTAGCTGGGGCTGACGTTTGGTGTTGGAGTCCACATTCACCCAGATGTGGTTCAAATTACTTCATTTAGTTTAAGCCGAAGCCCATCAGGCAGATTTCTGACTTGTCCGCAATTCGAATCTTCCTCCCCTTGCCCCAGTTCCAGGTCACGGGGGACCCGCAGAGCCCCAGTGCTAGTTGGGGGCCCACTGTCCCCGGTGTGGGCCCCTGGGGGTCTCCTGCCCCCTGCACCTTGGCCGCCCCTGCATCCATCTGGGAAGCCTGGTCCCTTCCAGGCTGTGATGCCCACCTGTGTCTGCACATGGCCAGGTGGAGGCCTGTTTGAGCAGAGCATTTTGTTTTGTTTTGTTTGTTTTTGCCATACCAGGGATTGAACCCAGAGTCATCTCACTGAGCTTCATCCTCAGCCCTTTTTGTTTTTTATTTTTTTGAGACAGGGTGTCACTTAAATCGCCCAGGGTGGGCTGGAACTTGGGACCCTTGGCCCCGGCCTCCGGAGCACTGTGGACAGATGTGGGCCCCGGTGCCGCTCTGGTTATGTCCCGGGCAGGCTGCACCTGCAGACCTGGGTCCCGCCCAGGGAGGCTGGTGGCCGGCGGCGAGGCTGGAGATTGGCGTGTGGCCTTTTCAGAAGAAGCTGAGCCCGCTCCAGCAGCGCAGGGTCGGTGGACCTTCCAGACAGGCTGCCTGAATGTCCTGGTGCCCCGTGTGCTGGTCCAGGCCAGGGGCCCAGGGGCCCCACCTCCCTGGGCTGAGGCAGAGGAAGGTGGGTGGGCAGGGCGGGCCGCCCCATGCATTCCGCTGTCCGCCTCCCAAGCCCTTCGGCCACCTCAAGCCACACGCTGGGGCTGGCAGCTCGGTGAAGGAGGGAGGGGAGGCCAGCGCCCCTCAGGGCCTCGGAGTCTGAGGGGCAGCAGACAGCAGTCATGGGGGAGGGGCCAGGCGCCAGGCTTGGCACGGAAGC